TTCGGTCATGGGCAAATGGATGCTTGCAACATTTGTTCAGTTTTGCAGCCTGAAACTAGGTTGTCAACTACATTTTTTGTTGAACACAGCATCCCTTCAGATGCCTTTTGAGAAGAAAAGGGTTGCTAAAGACCATCCTGGTTTCTGAAGATGAAATTAAGTTATTGGCGCTTACAAACAAAAGGTCTGCAACTGAAATGTTGATTGGGATAGTATGTATCTCTTCTATTACCAAGAGGTTGGTATCTAAACCACTCTGAAATAATTTGTTTCTGCTGCAGGTTAACACAGCCCCCTCTTCTGAGATTCTTGCTACTTATTTTGACAGTATCACTGTCAGACTCCGGTTTCTCAAATCCTTTGATGTAATGAGATATAAGGATGTAAATAAAACTCATCATGCATTCACCTGCCCTTGCTGAGGCTGTGCTGCTCTTATGGCTGATTTTGTCTGTGCTTGAGTTCAGTGGGCAAACACTCGGGAGTTCCATTTGGCTCTGCTGTGTTTAAGGTCAGCACTGAAGCAGGAGCAAGGATGCCATCATATCTGTCAAGTCCCTGCTCTGAAGAGCTACCCCTACTCAAAGCCATGGTGATAGCCTATATGAAAAGATAATTAATGATCCAGGCTTCTGGGTTTACTATAGCCCTGAGTTAAGAGAAAAGTATACTTGAATACTCTTTTTTTTTTTTTCATTGATGACTATGATCACTTGTTTGTCTTAGGATGCATTTCTCTTTCTGCTGTGTAACACTACACTGGATGCATTAAGAACCACAGGACTGCCACTTCATGATTGTATTCTTTCCATTTATTTGCATTCCCTAATACAGAGGGCAGAGCATTGTTTAAAAACTGGAAGAGTCTGGAGCAAACCTGTTGTTGAGGCTTGTTTTCTTGCCAGCTTTTGTAGAATAAACTTGTACTAATTGCCCAGATAAGGAAAACCCACCAGTGCAAGATTGATGGATATGTTAATAAAGAAAAACAATGTACAAGAAGAGTATTTCCCATTCATGCTTGTTTTCCATTAACATGAGGCCATCAAGGTTGCAAAAGAGTAGGAGCGGTTTCAGGAGTGTTGAGGTCCCTTACAGCCTTTTCTAGTGATTTCTTGTGAGTATATAAACTCTCTTGGGCTCAGCCTCTTGCCATGAATACTCATGGTTAATTTAGACCATGGACTGGTGATCTGAGTTTTAGAGCTGACGGGCATCTGCTGCTACCTTTGAAGTGAGTAGGATTTACTTATGTTGATGGGTATCTCTGTAAATTAAGCCACTTCTGCGAGTACTCAAATTCCTGGGTTTGTGTGCCCGAGGGAAACTACACAAGTTTGAAAATGTTGACTTTGAAATATACTTTGGTTTCCAGTCTTGTAAGTAGACAAAATAAATTTCACACCACATGAGGTACCCAGGAACTTAATTAAGGTGAATTAAGTGTTTTAAAATCTTAGCCGAACAGAAACTGCAAAGTGTGTGCAGAATAATAACAACACATGCATGTTCATCAGTGAGAACTAGAGTGTTGGAGTCTAAATCTAAGTAATGCTTTCAAGATAACATGTGGATAAATTTATCTCAACTTTTTTGCCATGGCATCAGCCTGCCTGTCCACGGTTTAGCCTTCCCTGACCAAGACCCACTACTGTTAATGGAATACAAGGTGATCATAAAATCCTTGCTGGGGACACTGTGAACCATAGCATTAACTGAATAGAATATTAGACTGTAAAATAAGGACTGTGAAAAAAAGAAAAAAGAGTGTGTCATATATAATGAAGAACCTTTCACATTGTAATCTTGAGTTATCCAAATAGCAAACATGTAATAACACATGAGAGGGGGAAGCTTTATCTTGCTCAATGTATTACACATATTTTTGAATCCTGTCTTCATCACAGTGTTTCACTGAATAACATTTTTATTAATATTTGGAAAAGTCTTCTGCATATAAGCAGTGGCCATTTACATGTGTTTCATATTTCAGAATGCATTGTAAGATTCTAACAGTACTGCTTAGTGCGATATGAAGCATAAATATTATATAATAAAGAAAATCTTTTTCAAAACCTAAATTGCAGCATTTCACATTAAAACTTAAATCTGGATTTGGCTCCAAGGAGACATATCAGTTTAAAACCTGCATGTCTTTAGCCACTGTATTATCTTTACTTGGTTCATTGGAAGAGCTCTCAATGCAGATGAATTAGATATTTTGAGTATAAGTACCCATCTCTTCTTTGCCATGTGAAATTTCCCTGTGCTTTTGGTAGAGACTTTGCTGACTATTAACTTCTTACTAAACTTTTACTTAAAGTCTCTGTTCTTGCTACTTCCCATTTTAAACATATTTTAAAAATTAGTATTTTTTAAGCATACCAATATAGCAGCACTGCTCCTTCTCAGGAAACAGTAGCTTCTCAGGCTGTTTGGCTGAAAAAGTAATGCTAAGGATAGTTGCAACTGCCAAAGTCTGGAAACTCAGAGTTATATCTGACATTTCATTCTTCACCTTAACTATTGAGCCTTGGCCATTCATTGGATTTTCACAGTGCTTTGGAGTTAGAAGGGAGTTTTACAGATGAAAGATGAAAATCAAAATAAACTCCTTTATCAAGTAAACCTTGCAAGGGCATTCTGAATTTTACAATGCACAGGGAGTTGATTGTGATATAACATACAACACAGGAGGTTGGAATAAACAATTTATTCTCTATTGTTAGGGATGGTCATGCATAACTGACTTATGGCTCTGGTTTGCTCTGCCACTTGTTACGTGTGCAGTCATCCCTAACTCATACCAAAAACAGTTTATCATACTCCCATGTTGCATAGAACATATCAAATGTTCTCTCATTAAAAACTTTACTGGGGAGACTGAGTGTTATAAGATGCTGGCAGTGCTTTAGCAAGCTTTCCCTGGAGCTTGCTCTCACTATGGAATCTGTGCTGACAGTGATCATGGGATGGTTCCTGATATCCTACAGAGCCACAGTCTGCTGGGCAGGTAACAGTGCTCATTGACAGCACATAGCAGGTGCAGTGCAGGCATCAAAGGCTGGCTTGTCAGAACGACTGAGGGACTGCAGGGGCTCTCCCCAAGCTGGGAGAGAATCAAGGGGTAGGACAGTGTGGGACAGTGTCACTGTCCCCATGGTTTAACCCTCCTGCTCCTGCACTGAGGGTTTTATTTCATCCACTGTCAATTCATGACCTTTTCTGAGCCCTAAATTTGTTTAATAAACAGATAAGGCCATATGCCATATAGTTCCCTGGCCATCCTTGTCATAGATGTATCTGTAGTCTATAGTTGTCTTTGGGACAGCCATTTGACAGATTTTATTCTGGAGCATTGTGTGGATCAAGCCCTGAGCTGTGTGTTCCCTTCCTGAAGGATGTTCCTTGTGGTTGGTGCATGTCTACAGCACAATCTAGTTTGGTTTTGCCCATTCTTCTCAAAAGAAGATGCAGTTCTGCTACAAATGTGAATCATTGGGTTCATCACCAGCACACATTCTAGGCAGCAGCTGGAGTGAAGCCATGAGTGTGCCTCAGTTGTAAAGTTCCCACTGCTGGAGTGCACTACTGAGCTTGGAGCTCCTGGGTGGTGCTTTGACCCCACCATGAGCATCTCTGATGGTAGGCTTTGGTTCCTGGTGTTCTGTGCCTTTATTGGCCGGGGTGTTTGCTGCAGGCTGACACACGGAGTGCTACACAGGTGTTGTCATGCCTGGAAAAATGGTGTTTGACAAGGGTGCTTTCCATCAAATGCATGGTCCCACTGCACAGTCATTCACATGGATGGCTGTTTTCCAGGCTACATCACCTTCCTACCTTACAGGAACACTTTGAGCCTAGACCTTTATTTCAGTGTTATCTCACCCAAGCTGAGTATAACCGGTGAAAGTTCAATTATATGCAAAGTGACTATTAAAGCATCAGGGCTCATCTGGGGGTCTGTGCCTCCCCTCCAGTTTTCACTTACAATTGTGCTAAATCCCTCCATGCTGCAGAGAAATCGTACGTTCATCAGGTGGGGCATTGGAGGCCAGGGTGCAGATAACCACTTTTACTGCAGATGAGACATTGCAGTCCTGTTCTTAAGAACTGCCAGGCAGATTGGGAATCACGGTCACGGTTAATAGCAGCGAATTGCCAGCTCTTGATGGGTGGGTAGTCACTCCTTTCAGTGGTTGCCCCCTGGGGGAGAAGGTAGAAAAACAGAGGGAGGGAATTAGAGTGACTTTGCACAGTTGAGCAGGTTCATGCCGCTGGATCAGTGGCAAGCATTGGCAGGGCTCCACTCTGGGGAGGCTCACAACAACATCACAGTCTCATTTTTACCAATTGGTGTTGCTATAGCCAGTGGTGCACAGGGGGAGAGCAAAGACGAGGGGGGGAGCCGGGGGGGAGAATGAAAGCAAGAGTCTGGACTAAATTAAACAAACAAAAGTGCTTGTAAGTAGCATTTAACCCATAACCATTAGCCCAGTGCTGCTAATTGTACTAAACTATATATCTGAAGTTCAGTGTGTGATTAAAGAGTTGGCTCACAAACTCTCTGCATAACCTTAATTTTTTCAAGGTTCTTTGAGTGTAGAATGGCTTATAATAATGATTTTGACTAATACAATTTTTGACATGCAACTTTAATGCTTAACCTTAGTACAACTCCAGAGCATTTCATGTGTATTCAGCTGTAAAGAGTGATGATTTAAAGGGATAATATAAGAAAAAGGTCGTTCTAGAATGAACCTCTAACAAATTGCATAAAGGAAGCTTATTATTCCATGAGTAGAGAGATACGCAGCTTTTCTGATCATTTTTCTGCTTGGTTCAAGAAATTGTTGAGACATGATTGGGAAAAGAAACACAAAAAAATGAAATAGAAAACTGCAAGCAGTGAATATTCTTTTGATGGTTATGATTTTGTTTCCACTAAAAATACTCCTCAGTAATGTGGTTGTTCATCTTTCCTCTTGTTTTGGGTGAAGAATTCGTTCCAATAAGAAAATGCTGTTATTGGTTGGAGGATTGCCTCCCGGACCTGACCGGCTACCCAGCAATTTGGTTCAGTATTATGATGATGAAAAGAAGACGTGGAAAATACTGACAAGTAAGTGGTTTATTTTTGTACAGTTGTCTTGATGAATTTAAAAACATGGTTAATCAAATTAGACACTTTATTGATTTGTTTCTCTTCAGAGATTTGTTTATGTATCACAAGGGGCTTCACAATGGAGCAATAAATTGAGATTGCAGAAGATGCTAATTCTATAATAGGATAGGCCTAAATTAACATTGGCTTAAAATCATTCCAGTAAGTTTTTTTTTAAGTAAACTTGTAAGTCTTTCAAGCTGCAACATGAACCCATGCATATTTATGTATATATGAATAAAATCTGGTTTAGGAAAAAAAAAAAAGGCATTTTTTTCAAGACATTTTTCTCAAGAGTCAGATCCCTGGTAAGCCGTAGTACTAGAGCACACCTTTGATTCTGTTTTGCATTTTCATTTCCTTCTTCCAGCTTTATCTGTTGTCCACAATCATTAAAGAAAGGTTTCCTCTGTACTACCCTGCGTCCATTGCTGACAGAAGCATTGGTGGAATATATCAGCTACAAAAAACAGTGCATGGAGGCTGCTATCACAAAATTCTTTCCCACCTTCTTTTAATAGTGGATTGGTTTTAGAGTAAGTATTTTGCCTCGAGCATCGAGATTTGGAACTTATTGTTATGTTGGTTGTGATTCCCAGTCTGACTTGGTCATGGAATCAAATCATAGCTTCTTGAGTGCAGCAGGCTGTGTGTGCATTAGTCCCCTTGTGGCTAAACTGGCTGCATTGGTCAATAAAACTAAATTTTAACTGTCAAAATTGCCCAAAGCAGTATAGATAAAATAATAAATGAGCAATTTTGATCCATAAATCAAAACCATACTTCTAAAACTGGACAACTGGTAAAACCTGGATTTCCTATTAGACCTGCTTTTTTTTTTTTTCTCCCAGTAAAATACATTTTACAGAATTTTTTTCTTCTCCCTTATCCAAAGCCATATAATGGCATACATCCACATTAATATTACATGCACAGATTAGGATGATTTTTTTTTTTTTATTGCTATGATGCAGGACTTGAAATAATGCCCTTGTAGACTGATTTTCTCCCATGGTATATTTAGGAGCCTTTTACAAAGTGGTGCCACATAAAGACTGTTTACATATAGACGAGCTGGACTAATAGTTGAGGGTGTTGTAAAAGAATGACAATTAAAAAAGGTTATATGAAGTGTACATTATAAAAGTTTATCGCATCTGTGCTAGGGAATATATTATGCTTCACATTTTTCAGAATAATGAGTTACAATACCCACCTCTGTAAACTACTTCTAAGAAAATCCTGAAGATGGTAAGTCAGTGAAAAATCAATGATACTGCCTAAGGCAGGTGTTTTTTTCATTTGCTGTGTCTAATCCAGTGGCTCAACAGGAGAGGCAGAAGGAATGGATCTCTTGCTTCAAGATCTGAACTCTCTACTGAATTAAAGTAGGAAGCTTTTTTCCTGAGTCTTAACTAGCTGTAGATTGTCAGATTTTGTAAGAATGGAATTTATTCAGCTCTTGGTTATTTACATTGTGTTGCAGTTTCCAAGAATGTGGGAAACTACCCAGAGGCAGGATACCTTAATGCTCTGGTTTAATGTCCAGCATCTCTAGTGTTGGATCAACTGTCTGTGGTGGTGTTGAGAGATGTTTCAGGATAATTTTATGTAGAGAATTTAGTCTTTTCTGTGTTACCTTTAGAAACAGGGAAGAAAAGTTCTCTTTCCACTATGGCAGTGCACATAACATTCTGTGCTGTGGTTAAAACCAAGGCATTTGTTACAGTCCTGGCCAGCTTGGGCTCAAGCATTTGCTGACCAGCACTGGAAGCCCTGGAGGTCCCAGGATCTGTCCCAGTGCTGGCTGAGGCAACAGCTGCCAAATACAGAGCCATCTCTTGACATGAGTAACTCTGTTCTTACAAATCCTGCCAGAAAAGGCAGAATTTGTAAGAATCCTTTAGCCCTCTTGGCCTGGGCTAAAGTTTGAAGAACACAGAGGAGAATGCCTGTCTTTTCACACTGAAAGACAAAATGTTAACAAGCATAATTTCTTAGAAAATATTTTACTACTTACAAAATGGTAACAATAGCTATTTTTTAAAATAGCTGGTTCAAATAAGAGTTTCAAGTATCCCTTTTTTTTTCTAGCTTATGAGAGAATGGGAGATAAGTCCAAGCAGATCTTCTGTCCTTTCTGTGAAACATTGAAGAACTACAGCATAGGAGTGTAGGGACTTGAAGAAGTGTGACTGAAAAGTCTTAGGGAACACAACAAACTGTACAAGCTGAAAACAATAGTGGTAGTTCAGTGCAGCCATGGTGTGCTGTCAACATACTGTGACATTTATTGGGGGTGTAAATTTAAGGACATAGTTCTGTCTTTATTTATCATGTATTTTCTTTTTTGCAATTTAGCAAAGAGTTTTCTTTCTTTACCTTTTTACCTCTCTCTCAATCCACTGTTGTCTTATCAGAGATATACAATCAGCAGCAAAGGCAGAAGATTTTTTTCTGTTTGGTTTTTTTTTTTTTCTTATTTAGATAATACTTTCAGTCCCAATGTTGCAGTTCATTCTCAACTTGTCAGTGCAAATGATGGGTTTGCTCCTTAGTGAATAGGGAGAGAGCAAAAGCTATGTCCTGCTCATGAGGCTCTGTGATGGGAAGAATTTCAGTTCCTGTACTCTGGTATTTCAACATGTTCTATTTTATTATCACCTTAGGTGTATTTGATTTTCTCCTGTTACAAAGTTTTTTCTTTAACCTTCTGGCTGCCAATAGGCTCCCCCACACACCAACAAAATGCCACATTTTGCACTTAGAGGCTTACTGATCCAAAGTAAGTGTGCACAGAAAGTCCCTCTCCCTTCCTCCAAACCCATTTGCATTCCTCATTTTCTGCTCTCTGTGCCAGTGGCATCTGGGGGTAGGGATGGTGGGAAAGGAGCAAACTCTCAGTCCTGGGTGCAGTGGCAGGGCCATTAAGGAGGAGGTGGATGTGAGGAGCCTGAATCTCCTCTTGTCACTGTCCGCTGAGAGGAGCCCCAGCAGTTACTCTCAGGGCTTGCAGACCCATTTGAGAGGGAGCTGCTTGCCTGTTTCCTTTTGCCTTCTCAGCAGGGAGAGTGGCTCACTCTCAGCACTCAGTTGCTTAGGGCTCTGTGTCCTGCCTTGTGTGATGCATAAGGAGCAGGAGCAGATCAGCCATCAGGAACTACTGGCTCCATGGCACTGCAGCTGGAGCTGCGGGGACGGGTGCGGGTGGAACAGCACGAGCTATCGAGTATGACAGCTCAGCACAGGAGCAATCTCATTTTGTTCCCTAGACAAGACTAGATCTATTGGCAGGGGATCCTGCCCACCTCTCTCTGCCTGGGTAGCCAAAGCACCAAATGCATCAGTACTAATGGGAGTAATTCGAAAGGTATCAGGAAAACAACTTGCCTTGTTCATAGACCCAGGAGAGGAGGGGAAGCATGCACCCATTTCCAATTTTTTAATGTCATCATCTATAGGCAAGAATGCTATGGCTCAGGGGATCGGTAGATTTTTCACAGTCTAGTATTACTGTGTATTTTTCCTATCTGGTATTTCTCAGAGAGTTATTGTTTATATGTTGACAACATAGAGGCAGAATAAAGAGTAAAAGAAAGGAGTAAGTTAGTGGCATTCTACAAACATTTTTTGCCACCTAATTTTGCTTGATATGGGCACAATCCTAATCTGAGATTATAAATAATATTATGCACATCATAATGTGTACATTGGTGTTTAATTTGAAACACTTACTGCACAGTTGTGCCTGAGCAAAGTTGAGGCTTTTATAGACTTTATCATAAAGTACAGCAAATATCTTCACTGCATGGTTTCTTTTCAGGCTTGCCTACATGTGCACAAACACTGTTCACTTTTTAGCTGGGTACTGCATAGGTCACGTAGCAGCAACAGGCTACCATTGCCCGGTGACACAAATGGAACAGCTGAAGGGGGTGTGACAGACCTCAGTAACAGCAAAAGTCGTGCTCTGTTAATGTGTTTTCATTATTTTGTGATATTTTGTAGTCTTCATAACTACTTTCTGGATGTGGGGCTTTGGGGGGGGTCTCAGTGTCACCACCTCATACCTCACTGCTCAGAACCAGGAACTGCTGCTTGGGTTTTAATTACCAGTTATGGTCCTGCCAGGAGTCTAATTGTGTTTAATTCTAGAACTCCTTTGGTTGTTTGTTTTAACTGAAACGTTTAAGATTAATTAAACTTTAAGGAAGTGAAACAATGTTTTGTTTGTTAGACCTATTCTATAATAATTGCAAAATCCAGAGCCTATAAAGATTTTTTGTGTTCAGAATTGCATAGCTTTCCCAAAAACCCTACTGCTAAGGCAATGATGTATTACTTTCACTTTCATTATATGTTTTTAATCAGAGCGTGACTTCACACTAGACAAAGCGATGCTTTATGCATGGTCTCCCTTGTTTTTTGCTAAAATCTTTTGACATGATTAATTTTACTTTAATGCTTTTGTCTTGTTGTAATGGTAAGGATGATGGGTATAAACCAGGGCAAAAAAATGCATGCTTTTCTGTCATAATGCTTCTAAGCATTTAAAAATATATTAAATGAAAGAAAAAAGTATCACAAGAGAATGATCTAACTGGAATTAAATTCCTTGCTATGTGAACAGAGAATGCAAGAAATAAATAAAAATGATGCAGTCATTGTTTTAGGTGAGGTTCTTTTTTGTTTTTTTCTATAGCAATTTATCCATCTGTCTGATCGGAAGTGATGACTGGAAGAGAAATTGGGTCTTATAGGTTTCTAGATATACAGCAATTCCTTGCTTCAATCCAAAAATTCCTTTTTCTCTGAAGCACAAAAGGTAAAATGTTGGAAGCATTACTGAACTCTTACATGGCATGTTCCATCCATGTGAAGCTGCAGCTGCAGCAGATACTGTTTTCATATCAATACTTTCTTTTTCAATAAGATGTTAATTGTAAAATTGCTTAACT